ATCGGCCCTGCTCTGAGCCTGACCAGGGGCTGCACCTAGGGATTGGGCCTGCCCTCTGCCACCCGGGAGCAGGCCTAAGCCAGTAGGTCGTTATCTCCCGAGGGGTCCCAGACTGCGAGAGGGCACAGGCCAGGTTGAGGGACGCCTCCTCCCCCCCGAGTGCACAAATTTTTGCACACCAGGCCTCTAGTGGGAAAATAAAATGAGAATTTGACTAGGCTACAATCTAACAGGTGAAGGGAAAATTTCCTGAGATTTTATAATCTAAGTGAAAAATAATTTCTAGATTCTAATTCACCTGGTTAATTAATGAAGAGAGTTCTCTAGTTCTGAACTTATTCTGGTCGACATTTTTGTTGAGTTGAAAACACAGAAGGGAAAGCAAGCAACACTACTGAGGGTGTGCCATCTACTAAACACCACACATACATTACCTTATTTCATAGTTACAAAAGTTAGTTAGAGCAATACTTTCACAGAAGGAGAAAATAAGGCTCAAACATGTGAAGCAGCTGCCCAAGATACACAGTTCGTATGTCAGAAAGCAGAGAATTAAAGTCAGGTCTATGTTCTTCTAAACATCATACTTCCTGGAAAAGACAGCCAATATAGCAAAATGCAGACTTAAGAGATTCATGAAAGACTAGAAGAATGAAGCTACATAGAAATGAAAAAAGTTAACATGATTAAGTTCAAAATTGAACTAGGTCTACAGGTGAGATATTACTACACACTTACTAGATAGCTAAATAGTAGCAATACTAAATGCTGATAGGATGCAGAGAGATAGAGCCTCTCAGATATTGCTGGCTGGAATGTAAAATAACACAGTCACTCTGGAAAATGGTATGGCAGTCTCTTCAAAACACTAAATATGCCCTTACTATTCAACCCAGCAATTACACTCCTGGGCATCTGTCCTATAAATGAAAATGTATGTCTGCATGAAAACCTGCACACAATTGTTCTAACAGCTTTATTAGTAACTAGAGGCCCAGTGCACAAAATTCGTGCATGGGGGGCAGGGGGGAGGGGTGGGGAGAGTCCCTCAGCCTGGCCTGCACCCTCTCCAATCCAGGACCCCTTGGGGATGTCCGACTGCCGGTTTAGGCCCCATCCCTGCAGGATGGGGCCTAAACCAGCAGTCAGATATCCCTCTCACAACCTGGGACCACTGGCTCCTAATTGCTCACCTGCCTGCCAGCCTGATAACCACTCTGCCTGTCTGTCTGATCGCCCCTAACTGCTCTCCCCTGCCAGCCTGATCGCCCTAACTGCTCTCCCCTGCCAGCCTGATTACCCCTAACCACCTCTGCCTCAGCCCTACCACCATGACTTTGTCTGGAACAGTGGTTCTCAACCTTCTGGCCCTTTAAATACAGTTCCTCATGTTGTGACCCAACCATAAAATTATTTTTGTTGCTACTTCATAACTGTAATGTTGCTATTGTTATGAATAGTAATATAAATATCTGATATGCAGGATGGTCTTAGGTGACCCGTGAAAGGGTCTTCAACCCACAGGTTGAGAACCGCTGGTCTGGAAGGACGTACAGAAGATGCCCAGTCTAATTAGCATATTACCCTTGTATTAGTATAGATAGCTAAAACCTGCAAACAACTAAAATGTCCTTCAATAGGTGAATGGTTAAACAACCTTGGTGCACCCTACCCTGAAATACTATGCTGCAATAATAAAAAAAGAATCAATTACTGATACAAGATACAACTTTGGTGGACCACAAGGACATTATGCTGAGTGAACAAAGCCAACCTCCAAAAATCACATACTTTTGCTAACATAACATTCTTGAAATGATAAAATTATAGAGATGGAAAACAAATCAGGGGTCAGGGATCGGAGTGGGGGTTATGACTGTTAAGGGTTGGGATAAGGGAGATAGCTGTGGTGAGAGACTAGTTCTGTAGCTTGACTGAGGTTCAAGAATCTATGATCATGACAAAATGAATGGTGCAATGTATATGCATTGGATGAATGCAAAATTGCTGATTTTGATATTAGCTTCCCAAATTCCTGTTTTATCTATTATTTCCAAATGAAAAAAAAAATTATACCTTAGGTGTTTTAAAAAATGTACCTTGGGTGTTTCAGTTTCCTGGGCCTGCCATAAAAAAGAACCACAAGCTTGGTAGCTCAAACCACAGATATGTATTATCTCCCATTTTAAGAGGCTCAAAGTTCAAAATCAACATGTTAAAAGTGTTGGTTCTTTCAGAGAGTGGTGAGAAAGAACCTGTTCCATTCCTCTCCCCAAGTTCCTGGTAGCCTTACATATTTCTTGGCTTGTAGATGGCTTTCTCCCTGTGTCTTCACAGTATCTTCCCTTTATCCACATGTGTCTCTTATCCCCTTCTTATAAGGAAACCAGACATTTGGATTGGGCCCATCCTAATGACCTCATCTTAACTTAATCAGTAGCAAAGACCCTGTTTCCAAATCCAGTCCCATTCACATATACTGAGGGTTAGGGACTTCCGCTTGGGAGCACACAATTCAACCCATAATACTCAGACTAAAAAAGTCAACTGCACAAGTACAGGAGAGAAAGCCTCATTTAAAGGCAGTTTATAGCCCTAACTGGTTTGGCTCAGTGGATAGAGTGTTGGCCCTCGGATGAAGGGCCCCCGAGTTCAATTCCGGTCAAGGGCATGTACCTTGGTTGCAGGCACATCCCCAGTAGGGGTGTGCAGGAGGCAGCTGACAGATGTTTCTCTCTCATCGATGTTTCTAACTCTTTATCCCTCTCCCTTTCTCTCTATAAAAAAATCAATAATATATATATTTTTTAAAAATAAAGGCAGCTTATATTTTTTTAAAAAAAGGAAAAAGGAAGGAAATAGTTAAAGAACAAAAATATCTAGCTTTAGTTGACCACAGGCTCAACCTAAATTAATAATTTAACAAGACTGCTTTAAGAAATGAATACTGTCTTCCAGGGCACTAACAGATTCAGATCAGAGGCAGGCACAGTCACTCTTCCTCCCACCTATCCAATCTCACATCAAATTTTCTAATCTGTTTGGATGTAGGGGAATACTGAGAAAGTAAAAGTGGATTTACAGGACTGTGGAGTCTGAAGACCAAATGGAAGTAACTGAAGATACTGAAGACTAAAAATGACAATCTGTCTTCAAAGTACTCATCTTTCAAATCCCTGATACCACCTTAAAGTGGTATCTCCTTTTGTTTGTTGAAAGAACAACAAAGCTTAAATTGTCTAGATAGATTTAGACTTATTCAATGTAACACAAGCAGGTAATATTAAAAATAAAAGGACCTCCTAAAACTTAGAGAAATTCAAAATAGAAATCTCTAACCAATGAAAATGCCCAGCTCAAGCCCTAGCCGTTTTGGCTCAGTAGATAGAGCATCGGACTTCGAACTGAAAGGTCCCAGGTTTAATTCCAGTCAAGGGCACATGCCCGGGTTGTGGGCTCGACCCCCAGTAGCAGAAGGAAGGAAGGAAGGAAGGAAGGAAGGAAGGAAAATGCCCAGCTCAAAATGCAGTGAATCCCCTATTGCCAGGACGTGCTCAGTGAGGTGCGTCCCTGACGGCCCTTTGTCAGGTGTTCTAGCACTAAGTGGGAGCGTGTGCTTAGTGTCTCCACCTTTTGTTTTCCTTTTCAGTACTTTTCACAGAAAGATGTTAGTTTAACCTCCTTGGGAATTTTTTTTAATTCTCACCCGAGGATATGCTTACTGATTTTAGAGAGAGGGCCAAAGGGTTGGGGGAGATGTAAGAAAGAACATCAATTGGTTGCCTTCTGTACATGCCCCAAATGGTGATCAAGCCCAAAAGCTAGGTATGTGTCCTGACCAGGGATTGAACTCGAACCTTCTGTTACACGGGACAATGTTCCAACCAACTGAGCCACAAGGGCCAGGGCTTGGGAATTTTTAAAAAATAATTCCACTGTTTTCTAAATACTAAAGGATAAAAATGCAATTTTAGATTGAAATATATTTGAGCCCTGGCCTGTGTTTGTAAGTGGTTAGAGCATGGGCCCTGCCCACCAAAGGGTTGAGGGTTCCATTCCTGGTCAAAGGCACATACCTGTGTTGAGGGTTTAATCCCCAAGCCTGGTTGGGGCACGTGTTGGAGGTAACTAATTTATGTGGAGGCAACCAATCGATGAGTCTTTCTCACATAAATAGTTTCTGCGGTTCCTCTCTCTCTTTCTTCTTCTCTCCCCCACTCCCTCCCTTCCACTCTCTCTAAAATTCATTGGTAAAAATATCCTCTTGTGAGGATTAACAAAACAAAAAAAGAAAGAAAAGAAAAAAACGTTTGAGAGTGTTCTGTATCTTGATTTTAATATTGAATGTAGAGAGAGGGTAGGGGGGAGAGAGAGAGAGAGAGAGAGAGAGAGAGAGAGGGAGATGTAAGAAAGAACATCAATTGGTTGCCTTCTGTACATGCCCCAAATGGTGATCAAGCCCAAAAGCTAGGTATGTGTCCTGACCAGGGATTGAACTCGAACCTTCTGTTACACGGGACAATGTTCCAACCAACTGAGCCACAAGGGCCAGGGCTTGGGAATTTTTAAAAAATAATTCCACTGTTTTCTAAATACTAAAGGATAAAAATGCAATTTTAGATTGAAATATATTTGAGCCCTGGCCTGTGTTTGTAAGTGGTTAGAGCATGGGCCCTGCCCACCAAAGGGTTGAGGGTTCCATTCCTGGTCAAAGGCACATACCTGTGTTGAGGGTTTAATCCCCAAGCCTGGTTGGGGCACGTGTTGGAGGTAACTAATTTATGTGGAGGCAACCAATCGATGAGTCTTTCTCACATAAATAGTTTCTGCGGTTCCTCTCTCTCTTTCTTCTTCTCTCCCCCACTCCCTCCCTTCCACTCTCTCTAAAATTCATTGGTAAAAATATCCTCTTGTGAGGATTAACAAAACAAAAAAAGAAAGAAAAGAAAAAAACGTTTGAGAGTGTTCTGTATCTTGATTTTAATATTATCTTTACTGATAATTCAATTGTGAGAAATACTTTTCCAACTGACATCTGAAGAATTTGTTTAGTTTAATTATCAGAAAAAGCATCATATTATCAATTTTTAAATGGTATCATGTTTAATCTCAGGTCTGAACATAATTAGAATGGTTAAGTGAGAAACATTATTGTGCTCATTAACTGTAAAAATGTATACTTCTCTGGCTCTTCATAACAATAGACTCCATGTCATCAAATATATCAAATTATTTTTTAGGTTGTTTTTTGGGAAAAAGATAACAAATGTGCCCCAAATGTTAGTTTTCCCATGCAGAACATTCATTATTATGTAATTACTAGAGGCCCAGTGCACAAATTTGTGCACCAGTGGGGTCCCTAGGCCTGGCCTGTGTTATCCGGCCAAAACCAGCTCTCCAACATCCCCCAAGGGATCCAGATTGCGAGAGGGCGCAGGCCAGGCTGAGGGGTCCCACCGGTGCATGATCAGGACCGGGGAGGGACACAGGAAGTTGGACAGCCAGGGAGGGACCGCGGGAGGGCTCCAGGGTGTGTCCGGCCTGTCTCACTCAGTCCTGATCAGCCAGACCCCAGCAGCAAGCTAACCTACCAGTTGGAGCGACTGCCCCCTGGTGGTCAGTGTATGTCATAGCAAGCAGTTGAGCGGGCCTTAGCATATCGTTAGCATATTATGCTTTGATTGGTTGAATGGACAACCGGATGACTGGAGACTTAGCATATTAGGCTTTTATTATATATGATAGAGGCTTCACCAGTGTTTGTTTTTAACTTACTAGATGTTTTTGAACTAAAAATATAAAAATTAGAATATGAGATGTTTTAAATTCTTGGACTTTTTAGGTGGTTTCGTTTTCAACTTTTTGGTCCTGTTTCTAAATTGAAGAGATAAGAGATTTCAAGCTACTATTTCCTGAAATAGCACATGGAAAAACAAATCAATTATTTTATAGGATTTTCAACAGGTGGATTCATGTTATCCTAATTTGTATAATTATTTTCATTATTTTTTCTCAGTCAATTGATGTAGTTCAGTATTCTTTAAGCTTTTTATCTTCAGCCAATTAATTATGGGAATTAAACTATATAACTAATAATGTATATTTTAAAAACTGTATAATGGTGAAAACCATCATGAAAGGTAAAGGTTTGAGGTTACGGTAGATAAACTGAAGGTAGTTCTTCCATCCTGGGGTTCCCCCACCCAGATTGTACTAGTCCTTTGTCTTTCTCTTTGTTGACTTTCTCCCATGTTTGTCAGAGCACATCCTCTATTAGTTTTTGTTGTTGTTTTAAGGTGGATGGATGGAAAGTCCTTGCTTCCTGTATGTGTGTTTTCATTCTGCCCTTGTACTTGATGGGCAGTTTGACGGACTGCAGAATCGAAGTTGAAGTTACTGCCCTTTGGGACTTGGAGACATTTCACTCACAGCTGCGCTTTCTTTCGCATAAGAGATCGGGGATCTGGCCGCTTCAGTCCGTCTGAAACTCTCGGAGTCCTCCTGATCCTGGTCCTGAGCTGCCTAATGCAGGCTTTGCGCTGCTGGGGTCTTTCTGCATTAAGGGTTCGGGAATCTGGAGAAGAGCTGCGTATAAATTAATGAAGAGACTAGAGAAGAAATATGAATTTGGGAGGCATGGGGGAGCCAGGGGAGGCTCCACTCTCTAGTGGAGTGGGCTCCCACAGCTTGTTATTCACACATTTAGCCTCCAGCAAAGCAGATAGACATATCAAAGGTGAGTTGGTAAATAAAGGGCCAGCAGGTGGGGGAACTGTCTGGCTGCTCCAGCAGCAGGTGGTGATGTGCAGAGCCAGGTCTCGGCTGGAGGAGTCTGTCCGCCTGCGGAACCAGCTCCAGCTCCGCTCACCGCCCTCAGTGTGCAGACCCAGTGCTCCTGGCCCCCCTAAGCGGTTCCCCTATTTCTGGGTCATTTCTTTCCCCCGGGTTTTCTGCTCTTCTTTTCTGATAGTCTTTGTTACCTGAATGAGTGAATGAGTGAGTGCAGTGAGGAGAGGATATGAGTGCTGAGTGACTGACTGCGGGGAGGGAGGGAATGAATAAGGGCATGAGTGAGTGAGTGAGTGAGTGAATGAATGAGTGAATGAATGAGTGAGTGAGTGAATGAGTGAATGAGTGAGTGAGTGAATGAGTGAATGAATGAATGAGTGAGTGAATTTTGAATGAGTGAATGAGTGAGTGAGTGAATGAGTGGGTGGATGAGTGGATGAGTGAATGAGTGAATTTTGAATGAGTGAATGAATGAGTGAATGAGTGAGTGAGTGAATGAGTGAGTGAATGAATGAATGAGTGAATGAGTGAGTGAGTGAGTGCACAAGTGAGGGGGTAGGGAATGAGTGAATGTGTGTGACTGAGGGAAGAGTGCATGAGAGAAGGAATGAAATGAGTGAACTAGCGAACAAATGAATGAGGAAAGGTGTGACTAAAGGGGCGAGTGAAGGAGTAAGGGAAGGAGGGATGGAGGGAGGAAGGAGGGAGTGATGGAGCAGCGCAGCCGGCTGACTGCGCACCCGCCAGGC